GAGAGAGAGAGAGAGAATACTTGGAAAGTGGTTTTGAGAAATGGGATAATTTAGCTGGTTAGCAATAATAATTGCCCATGAGTCCAGGATAAATGTTGCAACGGGTAGATGTGTAAGACATTATCCTTTTCTCTCGAGTCATTGCTAACTGGTTTAATTGGCTCCCAAAAGTAAATTACCTTGTGTCCTATCCTAGCAATTGATGAGTTGCATCTTAGTAATGCCATGGATGTGCTAGAACTTCATAGCCAAGATAGTCTTTTGTTTAATCATCCAAACAATGTTTTTAAACTCAGCAGACTCAGCCCCGGCCCAAGGTAATGTACAGTGCCTTAAAAGCCTTATAAAATGCAAAAGAATTGCTAAAAAATGAATTAAAGTTTTTAAAGTGAAACAAAACAAAATAAAAAACAACCTACAATTTCCAAATAAGCTCAAAATATAGTGGTTTACATTTCAGAAAAAAAAGAGGAAAATGTAAACAAAGTATAGGACAAGAAAAACTCACAAATCACTGTAAACACCTTCCAATTTTTCCCTTTCCGCCAAACAATAATTTAGTATAAGAATGTATTTCAAAAGTTCAGTTTCTTAGAACACCAAAATATTACAAGTAATGAGATTGGTGTCACAGACACCTACATATCAAGCAATTTTGAAAGACAAATTAAAAAGGAAATGGTGTTTTAATTTCGTTGGAGTTTTTTGACTTATAAGAAGATCAATATTTCAATTTTTTGAAGAAATTTTCTAGCACAAACTCAAAATTGTAAAGTGCCCCTTATACCAAAATTAAATATTGAAATAGAGCCTCTGTTAATAGCCACAATGGACAACAGCAAATTGTTGAAACAAAAGCAACTGTTATTGGTTCTTTGCTAAGAAGCCCCACCTCTCTTTTGGAGGTTATCAAGCTTTTTGGTGTTTACTGGTGTTTTAGATTCCCAATAAAATATAGCAGATGCTTGTCCTTGCTTGAATATTTTGTGTATGTAATGGCCCCCATGTATCTATGGCCGTTTTGGCCTGGGTTGACTCCTGATGTTAAAATTTGACTTTTTTTGCTTCTAGAGATGAATTCTTTTATGGTATTCATCTTGCATGGATTTCTAATTTCATATCTGAATTAGGCTGAAATGAAAGTCATGCCTTAGTTTAACCCAATTACCAAACTATCTAGAGCTTCGAAATTTCAGTTTTGCTATCGAACTTGTTCTTAATCATTTGTGAAAGACGAGGCTGATCTGTTAATTCCATAGATTTAGGTGAAAAACCCCGTCTACCACAAATATGCTCAAATTAAATGCTTATTCTATTTATCTTTCTGTGTTTATTAATGAGATCTCAGGGAGCCATGCTATTTGGGAAGCCTATGGATGTGAACTTCTCAAAGCACCCACACATTACCCCTGGGACGGACACCCATGACTACTCAGGCTCCACCCTCAACCGCTTCAACCGCAATGCAGCCAAGAGCTATCGCTACTGCTGCTCACCCACCAAGATGATCCACATCTCCACCCTCCCTCCCGAGGTCACTGAGGATGAGATCGTGGCCCACGTCGAGGAGCATGGGACTGTGGTTGGGAGCAAGCTGTTTGAGGTGAATGGAAAGAAGCAGGCCCTTGTACTCTTTGACACCGAGGAGCAGGCCACTGAGGCCCTTGTATGCAAGCATGCTACCAACATTGACCATGCAGTCATCCGCATCTCCTTCTCTCAGCTCCCTAGCCTCTAGAATCATCGTAATGCAGATGCCCGCGGGTTCTAGAATGTTTTAGAATGCCCTTGCGAGGTGAGAGAGATTGGGCTTTCCAATCATTTTCTTTTGTTGGTTTATTTGCGGTATGTTCAAGTTTAACATTGAGCTTTCTGTAGGCCTTTTGTGTTTGTTTTCTTGAGTGGGTGTAGAGACTGAATTTTGTTTTTTCTTGGCTAAATAGGTATTCAGAGCTTTGGGTTTAAGTTTCTATATTAACATTAATAATGTGTTAACGTTTTCTACTTGGATAAAACGTTTTCTACTTGATTAGGTTCTTCAACAGGTTGTCTTCTAGGTCCAACAATGATGTTGCCTTTATTAATCAACCCTTGAATCAATCGCTTCAAGTAGAAACATTTTTGGGTATCATGGGCATGGTTTCTATGCCACTTGCACCATCTGTTCTTATCGTTAACCTCAAATGGTGGTTCAGATGGTGGCGGGAGTTGAACCATGTTTTTCTTCAAGAGTAATTCCAGCACTTTTTCTAATGGGTCTTTGAGAGGAGAGAGGTTGTTCTCTCTCATTCGATTGTTATTTTGAGCATTAGCTCTAGGTTGATCCCTTCGATTTTGATTCCTACTATTATGTTGGGTGGCTGAACCCCGAGCCGGTCCATTAACGACAATTTCGTTAACTTGATCATAAGCTTTCCCCTTTTCGTTGCTCTTATTTTTATTCTGGGAAGTCGTGGTGGGTTTGTTATCGGGCTTAGTACTGAGGGGTGTCCCTCTCGCCCTTTCATGTCGTGTCACTCGCTCGATCCTGGAGTCGAAAGAGTGGGGGATACGTCCTTGGCTAAAGAAGGTCATGTATTCAGGAGCTGCATTTTCTAAGCCCATGGAGATTTTAGCTGGGTCAGTAAGTGGACATTCGATGACCCGTGTCGCCACCTCGCGGAATCAACTGATTAAATCCTCGAAGGATTCTCCTGGATTTTGTTTGGTTGCACTGAGCTCGCCCAGGGAAAGAGATCTTGGTGTCGACCCACGGTAATGATAGATCAACTGGTTGAATATTTCGTTTGGAGTTATGTGTGGTTGAGCGGTCATTATTCTCCGATGTCAGTTTAAAGCCTCACCATTCAAAGTTTGTAAAACATGGCCTTCAATTGGTTAGGCCTGTCTGGCAAGGTTCGAACAGAGAGGAGGTACGCGTTGACGTAAATATCTGGGTCACTCTTCCCATTGAATTTGTTTTTAAACTCTGAGATGACAAACCCAGGGGGAGGTCTTTCATGCCTCAAAGGGTCTCATGAACATGGGCCTCTGGGGGTTGGATTTTGTGCATATCGATCCTTACAAGCATATCTTGTATCACTTTTTAAGGTGCCTTCTTGTTGGGTATTAGACATGAGAGTAGGTCCACCAGTCGGTGGGTTCCCAAGCATAGACTGATGAGTCGAGACTTGGGGTATATGTTGGCCTGCTTGGGCTTGTGATGGATGAGCCGCGGTTATCGGGGTGTTTTGATACATTTGTGCTTGAGGGGCATACTGGCCCATAGGTGTCACCGTCGGTTGCGAAAATGGCACAGTTTGTTGGACCTGATGGACTAAGGGGACCGATTGAAGAATCGGCCGACTCGATTGTGTTAGGGGTTGGCCTATATCGTTAACTTGGTTTGGGTTTGACCCGTGAGCTGGAGCATGAACAGTGTAACCTAAGTCAACCAGACTTTTAAGGGAAGTTTGGATGTCCATCTCACCTAGGGGTGATCTAAATTGACGCCTCTGCTGCTTACAATGTTCAAGACATCGGCTATACTACGGTGGCTCGAGGTTGGATTGGATCTCCTAAACCTTAGTAGGCCTTGGTTTTGAGACCGCTGCATCTCGTGGTTATCTTGGTTCGAGTTGTGGGAATTGGCGTTAGATGCCACATGAACTTCTTCCCTCGCACGGCTCCTGCTTTGGTTGCCTAAGGTCCGACGGCTCCCACTGTGGCTACGTAGGACAATGCTCGAGCGGACCCCCTGGCTGTTCAATGTTTTTCGGGCGGAGCCAACTTTTCGGACCATGCAGAGCTCAGGGTAAGGAGTGGATCCTTGGGACTCGGCTTCTAATTGAAGACCTGGACGATGGATAATGGATTGGCTCGAGTTCTGGCCGTAATCCCAAGGGATTGCGGCATACTAGTCCCTAGGTTTGGGAAGGTTCGGTTTATAGTCAGTCGTGGAGTGGTCATCATAATCGCCTTGGGTAACCGACATGATGAATTTCTTTGACCGGGTTCTAGTGTCTAGGCTTAGGTAAGATCTAAACTCAATGACCTAGGGCACTCAGCCTGACTCTAGGGGCAAAACCTTAACTAAGATCAAGGCTAAGACTAGACTGGGACCTAGACTTGCTAGTTTTGGTTCAGACCCTGAACTAAGGTAAGCCTAGTCTAGCTCTAGAGGCAACTCTATGCTTACACCTACGCTAGAACCTAGACTAAGATCTAGACTAGATGGTGCACGAGTCTCGGCTCGGATCAAGGGTTGGTCTAAGTTGGACCAAGGTGTGAGTCTAAGTTGGACCAAGGTGTGAGTTATGTGTGGTTGAGCCTGGTTCGGATCTGGGCTAGGCTGGGTACAAGCCTGAACTTGGAGTCAGAGAGTTTTAATGATCAGACTAGGTATGGTCCTGGGCTGGATCAAAGATAGCTAGTAACAAGCCTTCGGCTCGGACCAAGATGGGACTTAGGTTTGAACCTGGGGGTGAACTTGGTTCGGACCTGGGCAAGTCAGGTACAGGCCTAGACTATGGACCCATAGAGTTTTGATGACCAGACCAGGTGTAGACCTGGACTGGATCAAAGATGAGCAAGGAACGAGTGATCGACTCGGACCAAGGGGGAGCCTAAGTTCAGACCAAGGCGGAACTTGGTTCGAACCTAGACTAAACTGGGTACCAGCTTAGGCTTGGACCCAAAAGGCTTAGCTCGGACCCAAAGTAGGTCTGGACTGAGATCTAAGTTAATCTACCAAAATTAAGCAAACAAAAACACGAAAAATGTTTGACATAGAATAATATAAGACTATAGGTAGGCTAGGTCTGGAGTGGGTTCCTAACTAATGAAATTCGGTTAGGCTGATATAGGTCCCCACATAGGTCCTGGCCTCCTGTTATAGGATGTTCACTAGGTCTTACTATACACGGAGTTACTTTGAGGCAAAGGATTACGGAGGGGCGCTCACAGTTAAAGTTACGTGAATCCCAACCTCCTCGACTCTCAAAGGTGGGTTCCCCTCACACCGTTAATGCATATTTTGGGGGTTTTCGAAAAATTTGTTTTCTGGTTTTTCGGGATTCCCGGTCGGTGTGTGCTAAAGTGTGTAAAGAAGCACGTAAATGAAAATAAAGTCAAGCATACATGCACACAATAAGAAAGAAAACAACTGATCGCTCAACGCTGATCGCGCCTAGCGATGCGTGCTTCGAGGCGAAACTCGCTCGAGGCACAATATTGATGGAGGGGTAAGGAACCCTTAAGAATGTATGGTCAAAGCAGCGAAACCCGACACAGTTAGTGCTAAGTCGAACGTGACCCGAGTTGAGGATGACTCGAACGGGACACGGTTCCGAGAAAGTGTAAGCAACCCTCAATCAGTATATATAT